GAGAGACCATTCTGGGTATGTGGGAATATCCCAAAAAGCCCACTTGAGCGGCGAAACCAGCAGGCGATATCGGGGATATAAAGAGCTGATAGGCCAGCAGCCAAAAAATATAAGACCGGCCACAAACCAGAATACCTTCATGGTGAACTGCATTGAAGCACATGCACTAAGTAGAAACGCGGCCGAAAAAAGGAAAAGAGAGTGAAATGTGTTCTGCGGGCGGCGAAAGTGAATAAAACTGTCGTAGACCTCAAGTAAGTTGGCCAAATCTGCAATTTGTAACTGTAGATATGGGCCGAGTTTTTCCAAAAGAGGGCCTAGCCAGTCTTTGTTTCCATGCTGGTCCATGAGCTCTCCGACCTTCAAAGCTGTAGTTCCTCGATCAATACTTCTTGAGAATTCATCCCGCAACGCAGAGACCGATGAAGGGTAATAGTAGTTCTTTGCAGTCGCGTAGACAATATACGCATACTGAACACAAAAAGGTTAGAGAAGATACTTTGTATCCGAAACTTACTTACCAAGAATGACATAATATATGATGTATACCAAAGCAATAGATATGATATCAACCATTTAGATGTTCGCCATCGGTCCTCCCATCTGTAAATCTTCCTGATATCTACTGCGAATTCCTGCAATGGAGCACTAACTATAATCAGTCTTTCTACGTGTCTGCGGAAAGTGTCGATATCGAAGGGAAGCTCTTCAAAATCATCGATGTATTGCGCGGCGAAAGGGCGTGAGCCATGAAGAAGTTTCTATTGACCACTTAGAATGAGGTTGATAATTTCAAAACTGTGCGGACTCACATATCCAATCCATTTTTCCCATTTGAATTCTGTGAACCCATGATCATCCTTCCTTTCAAAACGCTGTATGGGAGGGAGTGGTGGAGGAATATTATCAACAGCTCGAACACGGTGAACATGTCTGGCGGTAACCCAAGCAACACGCATTTCCTCTCGAGTTCGCTGGATCTTGTCAACCCTTTTTTCGAAGTAGTCAATATTATTTATATGGTCCTCAATAGCATCCTCATCGTCGCCAGCATGATGAACGTCCTTGGCTTGCTGTAAATCATCGTGAGCTTCGAGGAAATCAAAGTTTGCTTGATTTGAGAGATATGGTCGACTTTTGGCCAATTTCCCCGCAGTTTGTCTTGTGGCTTTCGATTTGATTGACGCGATAGGGTGAGCTATAGCGTCTGCAGTCCCCTGCAAGATGTTTTTTGTTCTTTCTACTCGCGATCCATTTCCCAATCTGGAGGTATTTAGTACCTTGTCTGCGTCGAAAGCTGGGTTCTGGTTGATCTCCTCCATTACAGCGTCGAAAAATTCGTCCTCTTCACTATCTTCGGATGTGAAATTGCTACCGTCAATCCTCAACAGGCGTTTGGCTTTTGCCTTTGCTTTCGATCGTATGCCATCGGCTTCAATGTGAAGTGATGAATCACTCAGGATTTGGGAGACCAGAGGTTCCTCATTACGCATCATAATCTTTTGATTGGTTTCGTCGCAGTAATTACCTGGCTAGGTAAAGGATATTGTTTGACTCTGATCATTCTCGGGCTCGAAAGATATTTATCGACCTTATCAAAGGTTCCACCAATGGTGATGATACCGGTATCTGAATGTAAACACAGGGTATTTTCCAATAAGCCAAGAAAGGCAATGGCCTCTATATTACTGCGAGGCTGAACGAGGCTGTATTGCCTCTGATGACGATGCCGTTGGTCGACTTTGTTTATGTCGTTTGAACTTGTGAATTTCGCGGAGCTAACACTCCGTACGAGGAAAGTTGGGCTGTGGCTGAAGCTACCCCACCAGCATTCTGTGGCTCAAGATATCAGGCTCAGCCTTACCTGAACCTATCTTTCCTTCGAGCCTCTAACCTATTCTCAAGATTGACCTCCAATATTACCTCAGAATTGGACTTGTACTTTATGAAGTCACTATGTCCCCTTTCCAGGCGTGTTTGCAACACGAAGAGTTCATTATGTCGCACTCCCAAACGATCTCTCCTGACGCTGGCGATTGAGACTTCGTGCGATGATACAAGCGTTTCCATTGTAGAGAAGCATGAAAATAATTCTGCCACCTTACACTTCAATTCCAAGGTTACATCGGACAACAGATCATTTGGGGGAGTGTGGCCTATCGCAGCACATGAGTCTCATCAGAAGAACTTAGCACAATTGGTGAAAGAAGCTATCAGGACTCTACCTCGACAAGACTCCACGGGTGCAACATTTGAGAACACTATAGCCGTCGCATCACATCATGGATCTAAGTTATACAAAAAGCCAGATTTCATAACCGTGACCCGAGGCCCAGGGATGCGAGCGAATCTCATCACTGGTATTGATACTGCGAAAGGTTTGGCTGTGGCATGGCAAATCCCTCTATTAGGTGTGAACCATATGCAGGCCCATGCTCTAACGCCACGAATGGTATCCGCCCTTGATGCGGGAAACAAAACTGAAATCGAAAAGTATGAGAATGATCCTTCCTATCCATTCCTCTCTTTGTTGGTGTCTGGTGGACACACCATGCTTGTCCATTCTCGTCAACTTTGCGACCACGAAATCTTGGCAACAACCTCGGATCTTGCGGTTGGAGACATGGTCGACAAGACAGCACGAGATATTTTACCAGCTTCTGTAATTGAATCTGCATCGGATGTGATGTATGGACGTGTTATGGAAGAATTCGCATTTCCTACTCCCAATTCCACATATGATTACGAGCCCTCTCAAAAGAGTATTGCACAGATTCCAAGGCCAACAAAATATGAATGGACATTAACACCACCCTACATGAGTACTGGTCATCGTCCGTTAAAATCTTACAATTCAGAATTCTCGTTTTCTGGTGTCGGAAGCCAAATCAAGCGCATTATGAACCGTAATCCAGAAATGGATGTTATAGAAAGGAGATTACTTGCTCAAGAGACTATGAGAATCGCATTTGAACACCTTGCTTCTAGAGTGATTTTAAATCTTGAGCGCCCAGATTTGAAGGAAACAAAAACCCTCGTTGTCTCAGGAGGTGTTGCTGCAAATCAGTATCTGAAGCATATATTGAGGTCATTACTAGATGTTTGGGGGCATAAAAATATGAGGTTATTGTTTCCACCTCCAAAATTCTGTACAGATAATGCAGCTATGATTGGGTGGACAGGTATCGAAATGTGGGAAGCTGGCTGGAGGAGCGATTTGGATATACTGGCGGCTAGAAAATGGCCAATCGACCCCAGAACCGAGGGTGGGATACTTGGTTTAGATGGCTGGAAGAATGAAATTATTTAGGTTGGCTTTCAAAGTCTCTTCCTATGGCTGATCTTCAATCATATGACGATGCTACTTCCCGAGTATCGACATGAACGGACTTGCGCCGAGATTACAGCCCGATATTTTCTCAGTTTCTCCCTGGTGTTCCCTTGGTCTTCTTCTCTTTACCGAATTTTGACTTTCTATCAAGCTCCAGAACCTTCCTGATCGATGTAATAGTATCTAGAACACTCACCCCTTCACTCTCCCTTTACTTGCCATCCACCACATACCAAGCTGGCTGGGCGATATTTGTGTGGCCTTCGACTTTGCAAACTAATTTTGGAAGATACTCAACGGTAGGTAGCTTAATTTACAAAGTATAAATCAACGGTCCTGTTTGATGTGTCAAAGAAAACTCAATCCTCCGTTGAGCGAAGAGTTTACCAGGTCCCATGATGAAGGTGGATACATGATTTAGTAGAATGGAGATGTAGTTTGCATAACACCAGCTCAAGTTTCAGTTTGCTTTGTATCGTCATTGATAGCTCTTTTGTGCAATTCTTACTCAATTTAGAGTGTAGAACGATTAGTTATTGAAAAATAGAGAGTCGGTGGAGTAAGTCTGTTCGTTGTTAGCAGAGAAAGTTTGTTACTGAAGATTTTGTTTGGGTTTGATGTCCTCGATCAAACACAAATTGGAAGTCCTAAGGAGATAAAATTGTAAAACAATCGGTCTGACATCATTTTGAACACTTCTTGAACTAACAAATACCAAATGGAGCATTTTCTTCATGAAGTAGTCATAGATTTGTCCTGATTTTCATTGTTATCTATGGAGCCAAAACATAGGCAAGTCGCCTTGCTGCAGTCTTTTGTTTTATTTTGTTATGATTGTTTGTCTTTTGCCATTAGCATCTATTTTGGAACCGAAGTATATGGATTGACTCAGGGCACGCTATTTGAGAAACGTTACAATATCTCTACAGAGTTTGTGCAAGTGATGACTTTTATGAGTAACAATGAACTTGTATGACTAGGACTGGCTATATATCTGGATCACTTTACTCAGTAGTTCTTCCTCCTTGTCAATATCAGGCAATATAGTCTTAATTATTCTTTCTGCATATATAAAATTTATACATCTAATTCAGATTTTATCAAACTATATGGGCACTAACAATACCAGTCGGCTCTTTAAGCGGCCGACTACTTCTGCTCCCTTTAGAGAGTGTTTTGAAAAGTCATCTAACTAGATATTTCTTGCTACTTTCACATTGGAGATGAGATTTCATCATGTCGTTTCCTCATTGGTTACTCATTTCTCCATATAATTGCTCATTTATTCATAGTAGTGCTAATAAATTCGAATCGAATCATCTGTCTATTTACTCATTTTTTCATCAAATTCCCGAGGTGCTCCCAAGATGAAGAAGACATTCACCATCATGACACAAATAATCAAAATTTCACTCGAATCTGTCTATATTAGGCTCACTTCCCGAGCACAAAATGTAAAATTCATGATCAGTTTTTACTTTCTGTCTACAGAAGCAGCTTTTGGAATAACACATTTTCTATTTCACAACATTACATCAAGTTGTACATTTAGGTAAGTTTATTGATTCTTTCCTCATTCAACGTAAATGCCAATTATCCTTGAGTTATTCAACTAACATTGTCAATTGTTATAAAGTTTACTTGTTCTGTACCATATACTGATCGGAAAATGTCTACACCACCCGGCCAGAACGGTTCTGGCACTCACAATGATAGGAAAGTTTCGGGAAATTCTAAAGTTCTACAATCCAGACCACGGGAAACTCTTCCCGTTACAGCTCAATCTGATCAAAGACTACCTGTTGCACCTCCTATCTCGGACAACACTCCACAACATTCATCTGCGAATGATGACCGGCAACAAGTCCGAGACGTTACCACAGGACAGAACCCAGAGTCTGTACCTCCTTTCAATTTACCAAGTCTACCATCTCAGAGGCCTGATCCACAAAACCGTTTTGCCGACCCCTTCAAGTGGCAACCACTTCCAGGAGAGCCTCTGAGTCAAGTTCATGGCAGCTCTCTACCACATGATATCTGGAGACCACAGAATTACGCGAGACATAGCAATCCCAGGAATGATAGTGCAGCTCATGCCAATCCTTTGGGTCCAGACATTTGGAAGCCGCAAAGTTACGCTAGAGATGGTGATGACAGCCATGGTTCCCGTCTTTTCATTCCTACTCCAAATCCTCGAGGAGCAAGCTCAAGAATGAATCGGGTCGACTCTAATCAGCAACTACCTTCATTAGCACATGCTGTCCCACCGACCAAAAATAAGTTCACACAACGACTCCCTCCGTTAGCACGAGCTGCTCCAAAATCCAATATGACATATGCTCCACGATTACCTTCATCATCACAGGCTAGCCAACCTGCAAACGTTAGATCTGCTCCAAAGTTTCCCATACCATCGCAGGCTAATCCAACTACCAACACCAGCTCTGCCACACGACAACCTATATCAATACCAGCTGTCCCAGAACACCCTCAATTAGCACAAGATTTTCCACACCCCGGTACCAACTCTGCTCCACAACCACCAACACAAGCTCCCACTACTACCCTCGATCACATCCCTTCCGAAAAAGCCGAAGAGCTTCGAGACAGACTCTTCAAACTCACCTCCGACTATCAACGTCTCTACAGCGTCTTCATGTCTAGTGGAAACGCCAGCTCCAATGCCGCTCATTGGAAATCAATCGACATCGATCTTCCCTATCTCTTCGAAGTTCGTCAACAAATCGTCAGCTTCCTGGTTGCCACCAAGAGATTCGAGAAAGGAGAAGAAATCAAAGATCTGCAGGGATTCAAGGAATCTCAAAAGCCTTTCTTCAAGAATTTGGAGGATGCTGTCGGGGTTGCTGTTGAGAAGATGACTTGGTTGAGGAGAAATCTGGAGGGTCCGAATGGGTATGCTTATCAACATCAAAATTGGTACTATCAGGTGATTGGCAATAATCCGCGGAGTGGTTGTTTGCCTTCTGCGAAGGGGGATGAGGGAGTTGAGGGCGGAGATGATGGAGGTGGTGGAAATGATGGAGATGCTGGAGATGGTGGAGAATCTATTGACAAGGCTACAAGACATGGCGATGAACATGGCAATTTGGTATCTCCATCGTTAGACTCTGAAGATGAAAGAGAGATGGAAACGGAAAAGGGCATAACTATGTAGTGTTTGAGGGACTCGATGTCTTGTTTGACATTATTTCTGGTGGTTCTGTTTAGAGATTGAACTACCCTTGAATGTGACAGTTTCCTAGATACTGGTCATTTAGGGGCTTTCAATATTTCTTCACTTTCCCCTGTTAGAGACGCCAGTTAGCATTTTTTCAAATTTCTTCCCAACGATCTGGAGAATGAAAGGGAGGATTTGTTGTAGCTTTAGATACCTACCTAACTACATTTGATAATGAAAAATCTTGGCATTGAGAATCTTTTACACATTCATATTTCAGACTGTTGCAAATGCATGAATTCGAGAGTAAAAATGTTTAGATAATGAATGATGTAGTATTATCAAGCTAACATTGAATACATGTCCAAAGATAAATCAGGAAAACTAGAATATGTGAAACCCTCCTTTTTTTTGTCTTTTGTTGCTATGAGACGCAGAAAAATAGATCCAACAACCGAAATAACTAATCAAACTGGATACATAGGAAAGTATGATATCTCGTGTATGCTAACCACTACAAAGAAAGGTCATTGAATAGTAGAGAAGATCAAACTAGGAAAAGCCAAGAGACCGGCAGGGCACTCTTGAAGCACCAGAATAGCTCCGCAATTCCGAAACCAAGAAATATTTCGATGAGAAAACGGCCGTCGCGCATAAGATGAATTCGGGTTACGGATACGACATGCCGGTTAATCCCAGGCTGAGAATCAATTCCCCTCGAGATCGCCGAGAAAGCGTTGTTCCCAGTTCCGAAATCCAAGGTCAGCTCTTCTGCACTCTTTTACAAGTACTATGGCATTCAAATGATTCGCTCTGGCGTACAGACGCCACATAGATATGAAATTGACAATGATCTGACTAGTGTCTCTAAGAACTGAACCACGTTCTTCTTGGGAGTGATCTTTCACCATGTGTTCGAAAAGAACCTCTCGGTGGAAGTACCCGTTGGCCTGGAACGAACATAACAAGCAATTCACTGTTCCATCGTCCAAATATTGATTATCATCACCTACGAAGAAGCTTCTTAGAAGTTCTAATCCTTGGCGGCGATCAGAAAGCTTATGGGTAAAAATGTGCTGTTGCATCATGTGCTCGCAGCTGTGTTCTTTATAATCAGCTGTGACTCGCCAAGTACAGCCATTTGGTGCCAATGGGCAGGTATCACGACCATCCAAACATAAGCGATGAAACCAGAATGGAACAGAACGGATCCCCAAGATTTTTTTATTGACGAAATCAAGATTGGGTTGAGCATCGTCGCCTCCGTAATGCATCCTCGTGAGATGATCAATTAATCCTGGGATGTCGAATGGGGCGGATTGGCAAGTCTCTATCAGGCACCGATAACTTCGCGAACCATCATGTTTTCGGAAATGCTCCATGAACTTGTCCTCTCTTTTGAATGGCTTCGTAGTTCGAGGGCACCCGTAAATAGGACAAACTGCCTGGAAGTCTTGGGTGTGGATATTCTTGATATGTCGCTTGAGTCTTGAACAACATTTCATTAGCTATACGTTTGGGTTTTGCTTTGCCAGGAAAATCGGAAATATTAATCGGTAGGAGAACTATGTCATTGCAAAGAGTCAAGTTACTTACTCATATTTACGCGGGAAAGTCTTGTTGCACCCTGGGTAGTAGCAACTCAGTCTGCCCTTTTGCCCTCTTAGAGCAACTTCGTGAGATCTGATATTTCATGTCTTAGCAAAAATCCCGATCCTACATGTCATTGATGCTTACCCATGAGTTTCTCCTGATAATTCTCGGGGACTTGGTGAAGATGACGGTGCAGTGGCTATCTGGCCGGGAATTTCTTCATCATTGACCAATGGGGTTGGGGGAAATTGTTTGCTTAGATCACCAGCTTCTATGAAGCCAGCCATCGATACCTCGACATTTGGTTCTGCCGGGAAAATCTCCTTCCATTCGCCTGAGTCGAAGCTGACCCGCATATAAGCCTGAGGCTCTGGTACAAGTGTAGCAGCATATGAAGTGCTCAGAAGCGTAGTGTTCAAGGACTCTGGTAACGCTAGCTCACTAGTTTCGTTATTCTTTCTCTTCAAAAGATCGGTATTATAATCTGCGGCAGCACCGAAGTCGTATGCTTGCTCGTCAATATCGTTATTCTTCCCCCAGAAGAACTCGGCATTATGGTCTGCTGCAGCACCGAAGTCGTAAACTTTCTCATTTGGTTTGTTCGCCGAACGTCCGCTGTGAAAAGCAGCCCTAAAATTAGCTTGTCTTTTTTTTTTTGCCACTTACCTGGAATAATCCGATGATTCCAAAGTAAGAGATCGCCCTGCAGGGCTTCGGGCGTCGCTACCCAACTTATTGGGCACGGGTTGTGAGAATAAGCAGCCACAAAAAAAGTGAGGCGAGCAAGCGAGTTTGATCGGTGAACGAAGTTTTGCGTATGAAGAGAAAAATGGGTGCCAAAACTTCGAGAAATGGTAGTGGGAACAAGCTAGTATCTTATAATTTTGAAGACAGACCCTGCAATAGGGCGACGGCTTGAATGCAGAAGACAAACCAAGCCTTACAAAAAGATTGGGAGGCTTGCATGAGTCACGTGTATCTTACTTTCTCAACAGGGTCACATGCATAATCTTGATGGTTTGTGAGACGTCAAGTCGTCATTTTTGTTGAAGCATCAGAAAATGAACGTTCATTTGTCACTGCACTTGCTCGCTGCTGTTAAAAGAAAGTTGCCTAGGTATCCGGTATTTCCATGGGTCTAGATGTTGGACCCCTCAACTGTCAAGACATAACTCGAGATTCAATGCCTTAGGCAGTTGGTACATTGCTTCTCTCATCAACGTGCACAACAATCCCGGAGCCCTAGTATGATCGTTCTTGGGTAGCCTGATGGGTGTCACACACTGCCAGAGATATCCAAAGATCCGTTATTTGGAGATATATTTGAGATAAACCTCAGTGGCATATGCGCAGTGAATCATGAAGATAGTGAAAAGATACCAAAATATTACAGTCGATTTAGCTCTAAATTGACTATTCACTTCACATAACGCTCTCATAGAAAAACCATGATTCGAAGTGGAAGCTGGGTTCCATATTTTGACAAGGCTCCATGATGCTCCTTCCCTTCCTTGGATTGTATGGAATTGTTGCTCGTCGTCTTAATCCATAAGAGTGCGGGGAATCGAACGATTTTTAAAGATAAAGTGAATATATAATCATACACATCTTGATAGAACTTAAGATCCGAGTTTAGATTCCAGAACGCTGTCACAAATCTTTTCCAATTTCTTCCTGACGGACAACCTATCCTTAATAATGGCCATGAACAACTTTACCCCATTTTTAGCTTCATACAATGAGCTTGTCGAGCAGTGGCGGTTGCGACTTCGTATACTAAAGGGCATGGAAAAGAAAGCAGTGGATGATGCAGAGCTTACACGGTTGATTTGGGTTTTCAAACTGTCTTGCGTTGAGTTTCAAAATTTTCAGGTTTGTTTGCGTGGGCTCTCCACTTCTGGGACGGCGATACTAATTTTTTCTCAGACCAAGTTGGATTACTTTAGCGCAGAATCTCCATCTGTTGATCTCTTCAATCACTGGCAAGAACTGAGCTCTGATTTCAATAAGATTCGAGCTTGTTTTGCTGCTCTTGAACTGAGCAATGACAGGTGCCACCGTTTCCGAATGGCTAAACCATCTCGTCTTACTACAGTCGATCTATCTAGCGCATCTGTCGATTTTTCCAATAATCATGACAGCAGATCGAATACAGCCAAAATGGGAGGCTCAAGAATCCTTAAGAATAAGCCAAGAAAGCTCATAATCTCCATTCCTGTTCACATCGTCGAGGGTTCGTTTTTCGACGGGTCCAAAAAAGCGCGGATTGTAACAAGAGCGCCGGGGGAGTTGACCTTGATCCTTCGAGTGAGCAAAGAGTATCTAAGCTTAAATGCGCGACCTCCAATCGATATGGAAGAGGAAATGCGACTTTGTGAGTAAATCAGCATTCTTGTTCACTATCATATCTTGACTGACTCTGATTTCGTACCATAATAGCTGTTTTGCGGTGTCAGAAAGCCGAAGCAGATGAGGCAAGAAAGCAAGCAGAGGCAGCTGTGGAGGCAGCTCGGATAGCAGCGATCCAAAAAGCAGAATTTGAAGCAAAAGTTGCAGTCGAAATTGAAGCAGAGGCCCAAGCAAAAGCTGCAGCAGAATCTCAAGCAGAAGCTGAAGAGGAAGCTCAACTTCAGCAGGCCGCTAGCCAATTTCCATTCAATTCTGATGATTCCGCTAGTCTAGAGAGCTGCAAGCAGGCTATCAGTGATGGCAGTATGCCTGTACCAATGTCAAGATTTCAAACCCCCGGCATGGAAGAAATTCGACAAGCTCTAATCACTACCACGAACCAGATGTACCTCAGTCATAAACAAACAGCCAAGGCTTCCATGATCAAGCGCCGAGTTAGGAAGCAGCTTAACCTTAGTCAGAACTTCTTTGAGGAGAATGGTTGGCCAAAACGATGTGAAATAATCATCTTGAGGGCATTCAATGAGGCCTGGGTAAGTCTTCAACCAAACATATGTCGAGCACAATTCCGAAATGGGCTTTAGACCTACTCTACAGTGAACTAACTTTTTCGGCGTTCTGAATAGTCTTCTGGACTCTTGGGATATTAGATTTAGTCTGTGGGAAAAACTCGGTGATCTTTTTATCTGAAGTAAGTCATGTCGAAATTACAAGATCCTTCCTATACTAACTTTACAATAGAATTCATTAACGGCGCTGCTAGGTTATTACTTTGGGTTGGATGCAGAAGTCTATGGAGTCGAGCAATCATTATCGTTACTTGCTAGGAAATTTGTCAATATCTTTTTGCGATTGGTGGTCGTCACAGCTGGGAAAGGCATTCTCTACAGAATATTACATAACATCAATGGGAAAAGCTCATATACATAATTTTGAAATTCAAAACGCATAGTTGATGTGAATGTGATAAAACCTCTCTTCATTTAGTGGAGAGCGCAATGGCAGGTATCTGTGTGATGTAGACTGGCCTTGACCCCGCGTTTGACGACACAGATTCACTTTACGCCATTCTGAGAATCCTCAAAATATCTTCTCCATTTCTTTTTTAGGAGACATATACTCTTTTTAAGAATCTTCGAGGAGTAAATAACTCATTCTTAATCTACACCACAATTTCTTTCTTACACATGTCATACTCGCCCAAACTGCAGTCAAAGAATATATAAAGACTGATTTTCCAGACAACTCTCTCGTCTACTCTTAAATCCGATCTCCAATATCACCAGTCAGGTTGGTAAAGCAAAAATTATATTTCATTAAGACATATGTTGACTTGTTGAATATAGATTCTTATCATTGACCGACTTTCACGTCGATTAAACAATTCGAACTCCGCCTCATGTCGACAGATCACCTCATCGTTAAATTACGCTACACCAAAAGCCAGCGCGAAAAGGTTGAGAAGTTAGTTAAATTGGAAAGCAATATGGCTCAGGAAGATGCCACTGGGGCCACTGGGGGCCAAAAAAACAAGAATGATAAACAACCCAATGCACCTAACAAATCACCCATAATCGAAAAACTGCTATCTCGTATCCGCAAAATTTTACGAAATAAGGACCGTCATGAAATTGTCAACAGAATCAGAGAATGCATCACCCTTCTCGAAGATACAGTTGAGTCTATCGCCACAGAAGATGGAGCAGGAGGCTCGAGTGGTCAGCAACAATGGTCCGCGAAAGACAAAGATGGCCGGAAAGAGATTGAAGATTTAAACCTCATGATTGCGAAATTGTTAGCGGAGAATGAGGAATTAAAGGCTACAAACAACGAATTAATCTGCGACGTTGATAAGGATAAGGCTGAGCTTTCAGAACTGAGAGAGGAGGTGGGACGAGCCAGAGATAATGAGAGTAAGCTGGAGGAGATCACCAACAGTTTAGAGACTTCACGCAACTCCACAGATAAAGCTCTCAATTTCTTGACGTCTCTCAAGAAAAAAGACAATACATACCGAGAGCGCGTTGTTGCATTGAAGAACGAACTGAAGGCATGCAAAAGAGAGAGAGACGAGGCTCTAGCGAATTTGGACCATCAAACCGAGAGCTTCGAGAACGAACATAAAACCTTGATTGATGAGAACACGAAGCTAAAGGCGACACTAACAGGCTTCAAGAGAAAATTAGATTGTGTAATGGAGGATGTGGAGGATCCTATTTCTCGTAAAAAGAGGTAGACTAAAGCGTTGCTCGAAATACCAGCTGCCAATGCTTTCTATCACAATTATGGTCTCGGGTTTATTTGCTTTGGTAAAGTGCTTTGAAGGTTAATTCAGAAGTTTTTTCAAGAAGAGTGTTGATGTTACTCGCACTTACAGTCATTTTACTTAAAGGGTTAGCGACACTAGTTTAGTAGTTTCAAGCTATGCACTTCTGATCACGACGTCTTAAGAATCACTTCTAAATCTTGATTCGCTGCATAGACTTCTGAAATTATATTGATAAATAAATGTCAGCTAGGAATCTCGAGGCCTACGTGAGACTTTATCTTTTCATATTCAATCATGGATTCTGGCCCAGATAGCGCAAAAGCGAGCATTCAGATGTTGAATCTCAACACGCGACATAGTAGCGTTTTATAAACTAATATCCAAGCGATTCTGCCGACATTGAAATCATTTCATCGGCGTGTATCAGACGATATCAACGAGGCTATCACTAAATCTACTTGATACCTGATCACGTTATGTACACTATCCAAGGAAATACACTGTTTTATTCACAAAGCATATATTTCTGTATCAGAAGACACGAGAAAGTCATTTCTGCTTGATAATATTCTGTTTCTCTTTCGTCTTTCACAGTATTGAGGTAATCTCATTGTTCCCACAAAATTTGATTTGAAAGTGAATATATTCAGCGCGTCGAACTAGGTAACTTAAACAACTCTCAAAAAACATTCACAACAACAATCACAACAACGCGCTTTTGCACCTTTGATATTTCACAAGGCTGCGGTAGGTCATATTCTTGTGCCACGAATCGAACCTTGCCCATCGAAAATCGAATAAGCGCATACTACCCCTCTTTCCTTAAAATGAAGCAATCCTCCCGCCGTGCGCCTGTTAAGCCGACAGATCAACCCGGCAACGCCATACACAGACTATCAGATGTCGTACCCCAATTTGAGTCCCTCATCGCATCGTCTGCAGCCAATCAAGCCAAGACAGAATATCGTCGAGGTGAATTTCTTGAGCAGTTAGTCAGTCAGAAATATCCGACAGTGGTGGCCGAGGAGAATATTCAATTTATTCGTGATTCGTTCACCAGCTTCAACGAACAACTTGAGAAACTACATAGGGGTGTACCAATAGTACCTACGGTACTCAGAAGAAGTGCTAGAAATAGTAATGTTAACAATGGCATGAGTGCTAAAGTAGATTGGGAGATGGCTATGGATGTGGATGACGATAAAGATAGAGACTACAATGAAGATGGTGGGGCTGCTTCTCCTCAACTTACCGCGGAACAGGAGGCAGAAGATGAGGAACACTGGCACCAAGCAGTAAATGCTCTCTCAATAGATACGACTATGACCAATTACTTTGTAGAAATGGGTTACCAAATGCCGCCTTCTCCGCCAAAGGAGGAATCGAGAGTACAAGACCAGGAAGAACTTCGACTCCCTAAGCGCAAGGCTCACTCAAAGAAGTGGGTACCAAGTTTTAACAAGAACAACAAACGTACCTCAATGCCACCACCTGATACCGAACAGATGTTTCATAATCTATCCATACGCAATACTGTACCAGAACAAAATGTTGACACAACCGGTAACCTGGTTGGAGGTTCATTAGAGCCATCGCTTTCCAGTCCATCAATGCCTCCTCCCAAGCGTGCCAAGACGGCGTCTTCATCCTCTGCCAGATCACACTTCGGACCCAAGCAACCTCCTCGCTGTGCCTCGTGTGTGCAAATGAAAAAGAACTGCGATCGTCAGACTCCTTGCGGAAGATGCTCTGGCATGCGCGATTACAAAGTGTGCATTCCATACTGGAGAGATTTGCAAAGAAATTCTGAAGCAGAGAAACGAGAGTTGGGATTCTGATTCTGGGTGCATGTGTGCACTTGGTGTGAGTCTTTTAATTTTAATGTTTGTGAAATAAGTGAACTGATTGGATTACTAGTAGACTGTATCCTGTTTCTCCCTTGAATACGATAGGCCATGATAGTGTTCATTAAGTGGAGGAACGAGATTTTGTCATCTTGTCGATAAGCTGCAGTGTGATTGGCGCATATCTCACCTTCTTTCTTTGGAAAATTCATACTTGAGAGATGGATATATGATCACCTGATGGCTTTTTTGCAGGCTATCTAAACATATGGAAGCACTTAGGGGTGGCCGTTCATGTGTTGGCATAGAGAACGATGTTTCCTTTCTTTCATATTCTTTCCTTCGTAATAGATGTTTCTTTTCTTCACTCACGTAATTCCAGACCGTTCTAAGTCTCATGTCATGAATATGAGTAATGTAGAATGATAGATAGAATGATATTACGATGATATCAGCATATTTTGAGGCAATGCAGTGATCTTCTGAAGTTCCATGATAACTATGAGCCTATGTCTCATTTCAATGATCATTTGCAAGCTGGAAAGTAGTCATTTGGTAAGTATTATACCACAGGTTCGATTATCCTAAGCATAGAGACGATGGAAGCAAATCTCACATGACATCATTCTGCTCACCGCAAACTCTCCCACTTCTAGCGCAAACAATTTAGGTTCTACTCAGTCATTTGGAGGATTTTCACGTTTGCTGTAGCTCAATGCATTAAACAAGCAAAAATCTCATGATACATGAATACTTGCACCCACGGATCTACAATTACATATCTTTCTCACAATAAAATTTATTAGTGGTGTATTTGCTTCATACCAAAGCAACATAAATGCAAATACTATCTCACCGCTTGCAAAATTTCTCGGTGCACGAGGCTGACATCTAATCTGCCACTATTGGGATTTTTCTTTGTCATCAATTCTGCAAGAATAGTTAATTAATCTTTGAGCTTGAAGAAAGCAAATTTCATTTTTCCCTTAACTTCACTCAATGGTCCATGCACTGTGCCCGTTCACTCTCAACAGTCCTCCTGAAAATACGCGAGCCACATCACGCTAACCCATAATGGAATTGCTCTTGGCTTCTTATTGGTTAAGCGAATCACTATAAATCTAAACCGCGCTAAATTGAATTCTGGACCTTGGTATAGTATCGCTGGTCAAACAATTTTTGTGCCCGACTACAACCTTTTTGATTGAATTACCCACGACCATCTTTGCGAGAAACTTCCTACATCCAGAACAATTTGGTAATCTCTACGATGGCTTCCTCAACCTTTTCCGACATGCTAAAATCTCCCTACCACCCCGATCACATTTTCGGTGACGAAGATACATGGTACGATGCTCCCGCCGACTTGCCACAAGAAGAAATCGAAGAATATTTTGATGCTCTCGAGAAGCATGATTGTGGTATCGGTTTGGCTGTGAGTAATCTAATTCATTTGATCTTACCTCTATGAAAGGCATCCTTTCTAACAGAGGCAAAGACCAATAGATTTGTCAACGATCCAGAATGGAATTATTGGCCTGTACTACCTACAGTCCTTCTCAACGACGACATCATCATCTTTGTTACAGACGAAAATCTCCGTCATGATGCTCCGGAATACGTTCAACTTCAGGCTATTCGCGCAAAACTTTCGAAGTTACATGAGGATCATGAAAGCGATGTTCAGGTAGAAGACCACACTATTAGTATGGCGCTCGAAAAGCTTTGGGCTATCACAGAAGCCTTATACGAGCCAGAAAATATTTATACTGGTTCTGATTACAAGAGAAAGAAAGATTTGGTACTGGAGAGAATTAATGAATGTTCTCGGACAAAGGAACGTCTTGAAACCGAATACACCGACACTTTCTCAAAGCTTGCGAAGGAAGCGCGAGCAATCTCACAGGAATGGCAGAAGGATCGCAGGGAACGCGAAGCAGAATTGGCTGAACAACAGATGCGGGCGAACAACTCAGAGACACAGAATCGTCTCCAGAATGTATTGGGAGAGAAGGCGGAACTGGAAGGCAGATTGGTTTATCTCCAAGCCGACAATGAGTTACTTGAAACCCGTATGGATCACTTTAAAGAAGCTTATAAGCATCTTCGAAGAGTGAGAGAGGGTGTATTGGGAGAGCAAAATCAGACTATGAATCGTGCGATCGAACAACGAAACGATGAAAGAATTCGAGTTCGAAATCTTCAAGCCCATCTCAGGACACACCGTCAAGCGATCATCCTCGAAAGACGTCAACGAGATATTGCGCGAGAGAACTGCAGTGCTTTGCTGAGCAATTTGGGTAGGGAAAGAGAAGAGTTGACATTGGTAAGAAGAGACCTATTTGAGGCGAGAGCTCGGGCAGATTATTTGAATCATGGCGTTGATCTGCTCAAAATGAGGTTGAGTGATCAAATAAACTGGAGTGATGTGCTGGAGATTCATGCAAGACAAGGAGAGGTATTCAACAGGATGGATGGAGCATGGGAGCCTTCAGTTTGTAAGCGTAGACTCGAAGAGTATGAGGATCGTGAGATGGAAGAGAGAGCAGCAAAACGTGCGCGTCGCCATTAGTGGTGTATGACTAATGATTGACATGATTAGTGTATTTCCTTGATGGCAGATAGATACAATGTTCAAGAATATTATGTGATAAGGTATCCTTCGTTCCATTGAGACCACGAAAAATTCTTTTAAGACCTTATTCCCATCCTATCTGCCATATTCAGACCTGAAACGTACTTGAGTCTGACACAAAACTTCATATTAACAAGCATCGTTTTGGATTGAGGCACCCATGCCGATTGATTTTCATCTTCAAGAAAACATTCCATCACGAAGTAGCGCATGGTTTCCAACATATGATACAGAGAGATTTTGACACACTTCAATATATATACGGGCCTATGAGGTCAACTGGAGATATGAAGCTACTTCATCAACCTTTGTCGTTCTCAGAATTCGTATGCGAATAAGCACTTGGCAGTCCAAGGGTTTCCGCAAATCCAACCACAGAAGTCTTTCTTGATATATATCTCAGAGTTCATCCTCGATATCAATCCTCTATCATTCGTTAGATGTTACTCAGTTCTCCCATTCTACCATACACCTGTCCCAATCATCAACATTATCTACAACCGTGTCAATAAAAACTCCGACTGCTGTTGGAGCAAAAGTGGTGAATCATATGGCTACCCGCCACCATGATCAAGCTCAACCAGTACGGAGCCGCGTCGTATGCTAGAAAGGCAAATAGAATGATTCTCAAATTGACCGTGTTGAATAATACGGCATTTTCATTGTCGCTAATCACTCACAAACAGCCAGCGTCGCTGTACTATATGAGAGCGTACTGAAATATGATCTTCCATCTAACTTAAAAGCATTTCTTCGCATCAGTTTGATTCTGATTCTTTACAATAAGTTTCTTGACATCAACTTGACTTGATAATAGAGAGATTTTAACTTACAATTCCAACCCTCCAACACAACATTTCTTCACGACATTCATCGTGATAAATATTACAACTCAAGTTCATACTTACAGAACAAACACCTTCGCAATGTCTACTTCTTCTCAACCAAGAGACGCCGCCGCACAAACCGTTGAAGATATATTCTTCGATGCTGCCGAGGAGATATTCGAGGACGCCTTGGAGAACCAAGAGCTTAGATACATCGTAAGTTCGCCCTCACTCCCAGAAACATATCGTTTTTTCTAACTGCTTCACAGGAACCACATCCATATCTTGCCGATCCAGACAAAAACTATTATCCAGATCTTCCAGCAATTTCCCTGCGAGATGAAATCCAAAATTTCAATTCTCAGGAACCAGCTCCCTATGACGAGGATGATCCTGAGTATGAAACGCTTGCGATGGTTGAGGATTTACTCACCGAATTACAAGAATATCATGAGACAAGGATGAAGCAGGAAGACAGCAAATATAGACGTGTTATGGCTCTCTATGAGAAAGTCATCAATCGCGCACATGATCCTTCGGAGATGCGTACACGTGAAGCTGTCATGAAGGAGAGAGCACTGTATGTCAGACGCCTGAACGAAATTGCGAGAACTCAGAAACTCCTGAACAGAGAGTACTTGGTTGAATTCAGAGAACTCAAAATGGATGGAGGTGCCATCATGGATAAATGGCATTCAAGACAAAGCTCGCTGGCTGCAGTCCCTCACAAGCTGGCCGTTGAAGAACATGTTCGCTGGACAATGCTTAGACAGAAGCAACTTGAGTACTTCCACGACAAGACGAAGAACCTAGTCAATGAACAGGCCAACCGAATCCGACAACTTGAGTATGCACTCGCGAGAGCCCAGCAGGCACCCGAAAATACTCCATACGTCTATCATACGACGACTAGTGTTTTAGCTGACGCATATCACATGATGTATCAGCAACGAGTGAACCACGGCGTCCAGAATGTTGTACAGCCCAGTGCAGTTTTGGGGCTATCCGATGATGTTGCAGTTCCAAATGGGCAAGAGCAAGTGAGTGCGGAAGAAAACCTTGCTCAAGCTCAACAACCACATGATTTCCAGAACCAAGGAAATCCGGAGCTCGTGACGGATTCTGGGGAAATTGACCCATCTAAAATCGCAGATGGCCAACAAGAGGCCGTCCACAAAACAAACGTTCCTCAAGCAAGCCAAGCATGGGATTCTCAACACCAGGAAAGTTCAAAGCTCGTGGACAACGCTGAGAAAAGCGACGATGATACCATCTCAAATGGTCAAGCTGAAGTGATCGAAGAAGGAGAAATTGCTGAAGTAGAGCAGCCAGTCAATTTCCAACAGCAAGAGATTTCAGAGCCAGATACAAATCTTCCTCAGGATCAGTCTAACTTCTTGATACCCAATGGCCAAGAAGAGCCAATCGCTACTGGAGCCAACATTTTCGAAGGACAGGAACATGCTGCTGACAACACACAAGAAGTCCAACATCTAGAAAATCCTCTACCTTACCCCCCTCTAGGTGCTGCAGTCCCTATTATTCCAAATCAACAGGTAAAACAACACAGCTACGTCAATTTTATGGAACACGATGAAGATCCAGGCCGTATGTACCCCTTACATTCTAGCGATCCAATCAAGAAAGCATGGGCCAGAAAGAAGTTGGATCTAGACTTTGAGAAGAAAAAGAGAGATACGATAGATGAGATCATGGAGACAGGAAGAAACGAGGCTGCGTTGGAGAAGTGGGCCGAGACAGTCAATAGTCTCTTCCAAGAAGCCTCATCAGATCGCCGTGCTACAAAGCACATGATCCAGGACTTCGACGAGAATGAAGAATCCGATGATGAGTATGGCCGCAAGCGCACTTTCGGTACATACGAAGAAGACGATGAACGTGAAGAGGAACACAGCAGAAAGCGTGTTCGCTCAATAAACACGGTAGGTTCACCTTTACTTAATTACTACCAAGAATTGTTGCTAAATGAACTACAGATCCCTCGTGGTAGCCCGGCACCTTCACTTGTTTTTGAACCCACACCGGATGATTCCTCTGATGACGAAATGTGGGAGGAGCCAGCTACTGGATATGTTGGTCACGATGGCGTGTATTATGACCCAGATGGACGACGCCAACACACGCAGGCTGATGCTGGACAAGAATATTTCGAGCATGATGTCAATGATGGTGGCTCCCCTGTCCGCGATTATACTCCACCTTCACCACAGCAGCAAAACCCAAGCCCTTCAAGTGCTCCGGCTTCGCGGATCAGATCATATGCTTCTAGATTTTCTGCCACTAGGCGCAATGGTTCAGCACCCGCTAGACTTAGGAGGGAGCGAATGCTACGAAGTCAATGGAGTGAATGGCAGAATAACCGAAGTAGCCCAAAATAGGAACTCTATTGACTACATGGGAGTTCGGGTTGAGAAAATGTCACAGGCTTGATTGTGGGGGTTAAGAATCGTCCATAAGTTGCAAGGTTAACGGCAACATATCTCGCATGGCTAAGCAAAATTATTTTTGGATGATTTGAGATATTGTAATGGTGCTAGGGTATGGAGGCATTTTAGAGATAAAGGGTTGATTATTGAAAAGTGGTGGAGGTACCTGGGATATTACGAGCTTGTGTATTCGTTGCAAGGAAGTCTGGTAGCATGGGCATATATCGTTTGGGGAATTCTTTTCTGACGGCCCTCTGTTCGCATAAGGCAGGAATGGTTGATTCTTCCTGCCCCTCAGTTTTGTTATTTCTTTTCTCTTGCTTTTTGATTTAGTTTTTAACACAGCGGCAGGAATCATACATATACATATATGTATCTAAATAGCATAAAATGGAAGGAATCACCTTCTCCCCCCAAAAATACATATCGAAATCCAAGTCCTCTTCTGCTTAATCTCGTGAACAACAATTGATCAAATCTTCTCATTTCAACCATCCACAATAACTTTGGGTAGAATCATATTACTAACTTCATTCCTGTTCGAAATAGTCGTCATAGCTTAATCAACTCGAACGTCAAGTCTAAGCTACACGATGGCTGAACTAACTCAGTGCCTCAAGCCTGGCTTCTGGGCTGTCTTCATAGGACTGGCTGAGCAGGCTGTCTGGTATGTTTTCATTGCTCTCAGAATAGAATTAACCATGACCAAGACATTCATTATGCTAACCATTCATCAAAGTGACCCCTCAGAATTCAGCAATAAAGAAATTGCGGAAACGGTTGCCTCACTCAGCATCGAGAGTACAATGTCCCCACTTCCATTTGAGATTTCGCAAATTCTCACGATGGTACTCGATTTCATGGTATTAATGCAATCATCTCTCCTCACGAGTCCATCGAATCTTTTGTGGTTGATGAAATCCGTCTTTTCGATTTTATACGAGTACATCTTGAAACCTTACATTACGTTCTATAAACTCGTCGGTCCTGGTAAACTTTTTTATCTTGCCGTCGAAACATCGTCAATTTTCCTTCTCATCGCTTTCTATTATCTATACCGTGGTTCTATTGCAGGCTTGGGATACGGAGTCAAATTTCACAAACCCAGAGAGGCCCAAAGTATCACTGATATCTCGAACATTGCTCCAAATTGTCAACTCAGAGAATGCACCATCTATCTCTCGGCATGGTGTAACATGCCTTTCAACTTGAGAGCTATGAAGGCCAACATGGTAAAAAAGTCCGACGATAAAATAGAGGTTTATAAAGGAGATGAAAAATTCTTTTTGGGATGGAAAAGGAGAATCAGGTTTACTTCTACGGAATACATTCCCATATTCAAAGAGATGGTAGGAGGTCTATATGCCCGTCTCAGATGGACTCACGCAGCTCTTTTATTGCTGCTTGTGTTGATCATACAGATACCAGCTGTGTCAACGAATGCTCAGTTAATACCAGGCATTGTTCTTCAGTGCCCTGGTTTGGCTGCAGGAGTGTTTTCCACCTGCTATCGGTATATGGAAGCAGCTGTGATAAAGAAGGCTCAATTAGTACCAGGAATTTACAATCAATGCCTTGTTGCGGCAAAAGAAGTACTCCTCCTCGGCTATCAGTCTCTGAGAGAATCCTTTTGAAGGCTACGGCGAGATATCGCAACCTTGACTATGAAAGTATGAATGAAGAACTCCGTAAGGAAAGAATGAGCGAAGCTATGCGTGCGGTGGAAGTGGGCGATGGGTATGAAGTTGTTTATGACAGGACACAAGCTTTCATTGCGCGCTTCCGTAATGTCAATAATATAGTGCGAGATGGATTATTCAATTTGCTTTGGGTTTGGTTTCTTTTTAGCTTTTTGCCATGGATACGCCATGTTTTGCGAGAAAGAAATCGTCGAGCTGTAGAGGGACACAGGGCGGAAGGACCTTAAAAGCAGAGAAAAGGCAAAAGAATGTGTGTGTTTGGTTGTTAGGACGCCTGTATAGGCCAGCGAGTTATGAACTAGGTTTACGATGAGATCTCAGAGGGATTCATGTTTGACGTTCGCGTCAATAGTAATTGTTAGTAAATAGAAAACAATAATAGCGTTGGAAATATCCGTAGATTTCTCTCCCGCCGAACAAATGTTGTGAAATTTCACTGGAGAAAACTGGATGGTGCATAGGATCTGCTGAATCACGATTTCTTTGTATTACTGATGCTTATGCAGACAGCTTCAAGAGTTCAATAGACTTTCCATGCTTCACTCAAAGCTCAAGAAATGACTCATTTGTCACCACGTATAATTACAAGCGCACATGATATCTTCACCATATCTTTCATCATCCCTAAGAGTTGCAAGTATAAGTAAATTAATTCATGTACGTATTAATCTTTCTGCATACTACTCTTCGCCCCCATAGACCCAGCACTCAATACCCTATCCCCCGAATAATCCTCTCAACCTTACTGCAACGTTCCATCAAGCACCAGATTTCTACTCGAGCTTCCTACATACACCGTCTTGGGATACTCGCTAATAAACCAATTTTGGGTTACCGGATCCCAGTTACTGATATCACGTCTCGTGATGCCGTATTTGAAGGTATCGGATTCGTTGGGTTCGAGCTCCATGTCGTCGAAGCCGCGGAGAACGATTTTGGGGTCGGTGGGTCCGCCGAGGGATATGTACTAGGTGGTGGGGTTAGTGGGTTGTGTGGTGGTGGTATGGGAGGAAGGGGATAGAGGGGAAGAGAGGAAGAGAAAGAAGTGGGGAGCTTACGAGTTGGGGAATTTCGGTCCCAGCAATCTTGCCTGTGTTCTTGATTGTAGCAGTAACGGTATAAAGCACATCATACAAACCTGGATTGCCACCCGGTTCACCACCAGCAGCGAGAAGAGGTTGTGGGGTGCTATCCTTTGAATGAGGAGGAGCTTGATCACTTTGATTTGCGACCACAGGACCATCAAGATAAGGATACACATAAAGAGGAACCTTGTGGAATCCTGGTGGGAATTGGGCAGCTGATGCATTGTAATTGATTTTACCAAATGTTGGAGCTGATGATGTTTGTCCTTTGGTGGGTGTGTAAGGGCGAGCATGCTTGCTTTGAATGCGCAAGTCAGAGTATGAGAATGTGGTATATGAAAGACCGAAACCGAATTCGTAGGATGGCTCGATATTCTTGGCATCGAAGTGACGATAGTCAATGAATACACCTTCCTTGTAGTTCTGTTGTGGATTCGGAGAGGAGATGGTGTAATCGACATCTACACCCCAATCTTCACGAGACTTTCCCCATGTGAAGATGGACTTTGCTTGTGGGTTAACTTCACCATATAAGACGTCTGTAATTGAGTTTCCGGATTCTTGACCAGGTAAACCAGCCCACAGGATGGCAGTTACATTGGGATGATTCTTGTATGCCTCAATAATAACGGGTCCGATTGTGTGGAGGACAATAATCGTGTTTTTGTTGATGGATGCAACAAGATCAATAACAGCATCTCCATTACCCCATAATGTGAGATTATTTCTGTCTCCTTGGTTGCCATCGACTGTAATGAAAGCTTCTCCACCATTTGCATTGGCGAAGACTAGTGCTACATCAGCACCTGTTGCAGCTGCAGTGATAGCGGCGAAATCGTAATTGTCGCTGACGTTTCTAACGATGGTCGAACTATGGCCATATTCTTCTCCTGCCTTGGCTTTCAATGCTGTGACTGGAGATATCAAATAAGGAAAGTTTGCAGTGCCAGAACCCCAACCCTAAATTAAGGAACACGGTTAGTGGATTTCATCAATCAGGTTCTAAATGGAGAGCATACCATTGCAAGCGTGCCAATATTGCAACCTCGATCTCCACAAGCGTTTGGGCCACCTGGATTATCATGGGCATCCTCTCCAATAATAGCCAAGGTCTTTGGATTTTTTAACGGCAATGCACCTTTGGTGTTCTTCAATAGAACCGTCGACTTTGCACCAATTTCGCGAATAAGTGGGGCGTGATTACCTTGCACATTGACATGTTGGTTAATTTGGGTGAAGTCTTCGTTAGCCAGGGGATGTTGATAACCATAGGTACTGAGATTCCAAGAATTGAAGTTCACTGGAACTTTGGCTGTATCTCTGCCAACTTTATAGTATGCAGACATGATTCGAACAACCATGTCATCAAGACGCCATTGAGGAATGGTTCCATTCAATACGGCGTTGGTCAGATGAGTTCCCCAGTAAGTGTTACCTGAAGCAAGATTTTGATCTCCAGCCATGGTCATGCTGAGTAACATTAGCTCAGATTCCTTCTGTGAAGATGAGAAACTTACTCAAGTCCGGCCAATGCACTAGCAACTCCAGAATGCTGTGCCCACCAATCACTCACAACTAAGAAATGCTATTAGCCTACACTTATGTCAACAATTCGAAGTACATACCAAAACCTTGGAAGTCCAATTCATTTTTCAACAAGTAATTAAGGGTCCAACTATTCTCTGATCCATAACTTTGATTAATACGATTGTAGGAACACATGACGGCACCGGCACCTGCGCGAACAGCATCTGCGAATGGCCTGCACAATCATTAACTACATCCCGAGACGAGATATTTGACACTCACCATAAATAAAGTTCGTGCATGGTCTTATCATCCACATTTGCGGATAATGCAGCATTTCCGGGGCCAGGCTCCCTGAAATGTTCTTGCTCATTCATAATAAAATGTTTAGCGCAAGCGACGACTCCAGCATCCTCTGCAAGAGAGAAATTGTTAGTATGCATCCTCGTATGTGAAATTTGGAAGACAGAAAGTTGTTAAAGGGGATAAGCAGTCTTACGAATTCCTTCAATTGTTGCCATCATACTAACTCCTGTAAGAACAGGGTCTGGGCTGAAACCTTCCCAATTCCTTCCACCTGCTGGTACTCTTCCAATTGGACCTATTCCAGACTGATTAGATCCAGCATTGAATAATATGGCAAATTGCTTACCAGCTACAGGGCCCAATTGTACATCGATACCCTTTCCCCGATGTTCCTGGCCCATAGCAATACCTCGAGCATTAATCAAGTCATAACTCCATGTTGCAGCAGCATTCATTCCAGCAGGGAACGCAGAATTCTGATCAGCTAGCCATCACGCGTCAGTCATTATATAGTCTTTATGTTGCAAGGGAACTGACTAAATCGAATGCCGAGAGGAGAATCTTGGAGGCAAAGTCCCGGGAAACCCAATCGTGGAATTGTACCAGTATTTCCTACACAAGATTCACCTTCCCAACCAACACCGGTGGTAAGGTTAACTTTCTCAAGGAGAGTGAGCTGGCTAACAAATTTCTTTGCTTTGGCGTATGCATCTGCCCAATCACCATTGCCGTTCATCCATGGAGATGGATAACTAGGAGGAGAGAAATCTCCATCGTTTTGAGCAAACGCAGAGGTTGCAAAGAATACAGCTGATGTAAGCAATACTAAGAGCTTCATTTTCGTAGCAATTGCTCGAAAGCTTTCTGGAGATGAAAGAGAGAAAATAGAAAATTCTGGGGTCCCTCCTTCCTCTTTAAGGAAAAAATGGTAGGGATTTGCATTGAGCTGAGAGGGAAATTACGAGGGTCATAGTGAATACTGAGGGTAATAAAAAATCGCCTCCGCATATGAATCATATCGTAACTGGACTTTCGTGCAGCGTGGTAATTTCACACGGCATCATGCATATGGCTCGGGTAATCTAAACTAGCTAAAGCTTCATCTGCACGTTTCCGTGTCAAATTGGAAAACCATGAACTCATACAGCTCTTCCCCAGATTATCAAATTAAAGTAAAATTTCCTTGTATATACCCGATGGCGGGACCCAAAAGTCTGGGGTTACTGGGGTCTAGCTTCGGAGGCTAGGAATGACTTTGTTCCTGTCTCTATGAGTGGCTCGAAGGACGAGCTGCTCCGAATGTGCGCCAACAAGAACACTCGACATGCATATACAATCGGTCCGAGAGTGTGACCGACGAACACTTGGGACAAGTTGTTCTTACCTAGGTATTGCAAGGTATCATGATTCCGAATAGTAAATCGAATTCCCCTCACTTGGCGGGGTAGTGATACAAATTTGATGGTCATTTGTGTTTGTGCATCCAATACATGCAAAGTTAGGCAGGGTTGGCGTCGGGTAAAGTACCGCAGATATGGTTAGTCATTTCATTTGAGTTCATCTTGGGTATTCTCCCATGACCATCACGAGAAAAGGAAACTTTCCTAAGTCATGTGTCGTACTGTTGAGGCCAAGAACGAACGGCGCAGCGGCGAGCGTTTGGAGGCGCGGATATTAAGATGACAGAATGTGAACCGGTATTAAGCCGTCCATGGAACCAAATAACTGGTCAAGATTGAAACACGTGAGGAAAACAAAAGACGGCATGCCAATCAGTGTTTACTTCGGCATTTAGATGTAAGGAATAGAATTGCTCGCTTAGTAATGAAAATGAAGGGTAAAATATGCCTCTGGCTTGTAACAATTGATTTTGAGATATTTTCTTACATTCTCTCGAAGAAAAATGAATCGATAGGAAGCCATGTCTTGCAATCATAGGTTTTCGTTTCTTCATGCCCAAATCATAATGCTGTTGATGATATTGATGAGTAAACTTAAGAGAGATATTTTGATGTTCTACATTTCGAAGTTACATCGAAATGGGTGGGGCGGCAAAGCCATACCTAATATCGACCCTCAACCTCTTTTGCCCTTCAACGGTTTCCAGCTTGAGAGTTCATGGCATCACATCATGCCTCGAGACTACGGCATCCGGTTAATAGAACAAAATGCCAACACTCAAGCCTTCGGACAACCAGAAAGTCGTCTCAAAGTTGATTGGCGGAGACGCACCCGAGCAATCAAACAGCTTTAGTTGTGAGATCTTTCCATGCGGAGCAACCCCCGCCGGAATGTAACCCGACTCATGCAGGGTGCAGTTAACCACACAAACAAGAAAAAGAAAAGAAAACTCCTCACACCCCACTTTGCTCTCAATATAGAGCAGAATCAAGCACCTTCCTGCATCTAAAATCGATAATAAGTCTTTGTGGCTCAGTTGGTTAGAGCGTTGGTCTCATATTCCTATATGAGGTGATTGTTAACAGTCACTCTAGCCATCCAAAGGTCGAGAGTTCGAGTCTCTCCAAGGACATTTGGTTTTTGTACATTCTTTTGATGGAATTCTACCCCGCTGTTTTGTTTTGCGAAGAGGCGAAGGGTTTCTTGCTCTTTTGCCCCACCCATTTACGGATTAGACGTTGAACTAACTGCCTTCGAGTTCATCTAACAGCAAAGAATGGATTGTCTCGTCTGTCGTGAATTACATCATTTTGTGAATCACCCATCGAGAGATTATTGCAGCAAAGTTGCAACAATGCTTTCTGAGGAGAATAGGCTGATAGAGAACCTGATGAGTATTCACGCCTACATCTACACAAGAAATCGATAAGAACTGTGAAAATCTCAGAAATCACTGGCAAGAAGATATCGAGCATGTGGTTTTGGACTTTTGAAGATACTTTCTTCGATCATTTCAGACCTTCTCCTCACCTCGTCGGCACCAAGTTCCATGCTCTCAATTCACTCTCGCTGACAATATCTCCTCCTCCTCATATTCTTGGCATCTAAAGTATTTCAGACTACCTACGTGATCACTACAGTTTATCAAGTGGATAGTTTCTCCTCGTATTTTCTAAGGCCGTCTTAATTCTACCAGACACATAAATGTTTCGGGAGTTTAAAAAGTGACCATAGCATCGAAATACTTACTTACCTCTATACAACCAACGCAAGTGCCCACATAAATAGTCACAAATATTTAGATGCAGCATTCTCTCCTTCCATTACAAATACAGTCTATATCCAAGTCCGACTGGTGAATAATTGTGTTTCGGTTTCGAAAAATGGGTGAATGTTTACTCCAACCGAAACTCTATACCCCGAGGTTCCCCTCAAAGTACGATGGTCTCATCTCATTCAATACCCTATACAGCTCTTTTTCAAGTTTTGTTGCATATCTGGTTGGCCCGAGAGTTAAATAGATAGACTTAGATTAATTTTACTCGGGATTTGTTGCATATCTAAGCTGGCCGAGAGTTAAATAGATGGAATCAGGTGAACTCTACTCAGCGTTTGTTGCATATCTGATTTGCTAAAGATTTAAAATAGATGGAAAAAAATGACTTCTTCTAATAGTTGATTGATTGATTGATTGATTGATTTAATTAACGTCCTTTTCTCAGTCCAAGACTATTTAGAATAGCTAGACTTTAAGAACCTAATAACTACTAGTGAATATCTATAATAGATATATTCAATTTGGAGGAGTAAAAACAAATACTAAAATGCTATACCCGATCTCTATTCGGAATGCAAATAGAGATTAAATAGTCTTTATCCTCTAAAATACTTTCTTCCTTACTCTTCCCCTATTCCTAATCCAATTAAAATATCCCAATATCCAATTTCTCTTTTTAAAATCCTAAATCCAATTTGCTATCCCTCTCTTTCTATAAAAGGCAAAAATTATTCCTTTCCGAGTTGCCTTCAATATAGCAAAGGGTCCTCTTATTAATAAGGTAGCAGAAAAAGATATCATTTTTCTCTATCTTTATCTTTTTTAAACTAGCCTCTTATATATCTTCATAAACTTAATATCCTCCAGCTCTTATTAGATATATATAATCGAAACTATTGAAAATAATAAGGCAGAGCCGAATCCTAAGCCCTATTACTTACACACAAATCAATTCGGAAAATTCGAAAATTCGAAAATTAAAAGAAAAACATTATATTATATCAATGCCTAGAGTATGATATTAATTTGAAGGCAATAGCATTCTCTATATTGTATTATTGTAGTATTCGAGTGGCTGAAAGCCAAAGGATATAAAAAAGGATTATAATATAAATAGAATGATAGCAAGCTTTATATCGAAAAGACTCTTCTAAAAGAAGAGATCTATTATGTATTATATTTCTATATTTGAAATAGTAATCGATAATAGATATTGAATCTAACCAGGACTTTCATAACCTTTGTATTTGCGTCTAAAGCTAGTATTTAACTCTTTATAGGTATTGTTATTGTAAAATCGTAATATAATCCTTCGCTATATCTCTAAACCTCTCTCCTTCCAATTCTTCCAATTCCATCTATGACTTAATCTTAGCTCTGCAGACTCTCAAGAGAGAGCTGGAGGTTCGTAGGATGCACCGCGTACAGGTGTTGAGTCTTCGCATCCCTCTTCTAATAGTAATAAATCTTGTTGAGTTTAACAGGAGTTGGTTACTTGATTGCCTAGTACTTGATTACTTGATGTTCTTGAAATTGGCGAGGTAATCACTTTATGAGGTTCTTTTCCTCACTCATACTTGCTCAGCTACTTTCTACGGCAAGGTACCTAAAGTTCTGTCTACCTATCTCATGCTACCTAATGAATAAAATTCCCGTGAATATACAATTCTCTTGGCAAATACATTACAAGGCAAATGACTACCATATTCGTACATGAGATGAATTTATACGGTTATTCAGGAAGTGAATACATCGTCACCAATTTCCACAACATGCAGACTGATCAGCAACAAGTTTGCCGTATTCATTAACTTTACGGTTGCAGTATGTATTCTTTTACAACCGACTTCATTGTTTGACTAATACATATGGCCATCATACCATCATATCAAACTTGCGTTTCTTCAGCTCCTCTGTCTACAACATCTAAACTCCTACTCTTTGGTGTATCTTGAGCGCAGAGTTACGACCTAATACGTCAAAACCATTATTTTTCTCTGAGCACAGTTACTCCTGCGCCCGCTACTCAATCGATCTCACATCTTAACAAACCATCTATCCGGATTAGCTTCACAAACCATTCCAAACAACCCCATTATTCAACTTCTCAACACAACACAACCCAACCCAAACACCACCCTCCAACCATGAAAACCAAATCCCTCGCCTCCTACCCCATCCTCTCCTTCCCCATAACCACCTCCTCCTCACCCTCTTTTTTTCATCTTCCTTCTCTACATCCCCCGCCTCCTCTACCTCTATCTCCGAACCCGCATTTTCCGTTTCTGGAAACGCAATATGACGAAACGGATATCTCACTTCGAGGCTCTTGATCTCGCGCGCTCGGGGCAGGTAGAGGGAGTTGGAGGGACGCAAGGGAAAATGAATAGAGATGGGAATGTGAGAGGAGATGGAAAGAGAAAATCAAAACGAAGATGGGATTGGGATTTAGAGAAAGGAGATGCTGAAGCAAAGAAGAAGAAGAAAATGAATGGACGACGAAAGGGGAGATGGCGAAGGGATGGGATTTTGAGGAAGAGGAGATGAGGGAGGGAAGGAGATTGGGGGTGGCGGAGGAGAGTAGGTGGTTGCATTGTGCGGGGAGGGATGGAGATGATAATCGGGAGGATGGATGAGACTTGGGAGTGGAGATGGGGGAGAGAATGAGAGGGAGGAGTGCTGTGAGATTCAGATGGATAAGGAGCTTGATGGTTGAAGAGCCAAGATTGAGGATTGGGGATTGGGGGATGAATGATATCCCCAGCGAGATGTAAATACAAGTGCACGGCATCATCACATTGTACATCTGGTTATCCACTCGATGGGAGACCTTCTCCCACCGTATCCGGAAAACTCGACTTCTCAGTCTATGAACTCAGAGTTGCGATGCGGAAGCTAGGTAGGAGGAACGGGATTTGTGGGGCGAGATGAGAGAACGTCCTAGGAAATTTGTTATAAAGGGAAAGAAAGAAAGAAAGATAAATAAATAAATAGCAGAGCTAGCTAGTCTCGCTCATGGTTTTTGCTAATATCTAATATTTTTAATCATATCGAGTATTAATAATTACGCTCTTTCTTTCACTCATCTAGAATGGGAGATTTGTATTTGTGATGTGAGATGTGATATGGAACATGGAATATGTAATATGCTATTATGGATGTTTCGTAAGTAGATATATAGCTATCTACCTACCACTCAAAACAGAAACACATATCCAACAACCCTTCTTCCTACCAGGAACCAGTAACCAGGAACTGAAGAAAGCGAAGAAGAATCCTAAGAAGAATCCTAAGAAAAAGAAAAGCAACCCACAAAAAAATCAAGAGTAGACGGGAAAAAGAATCACACGATGAAAATCTTCCTCTCTCTATGAGATGATACTGTAATCAATTCCTTAGTAGTGGTGTACATCGAGAGATAAAATTCACATTCAGATTCACAATCAGATTCAAGATTCAAGATGCTGTGAATAAATGTATCACGCACGATAGGTGCGATATCAATTCTTTTTTTTTTTCATGATTCAAACAAATCACGGATTAGATTAAGCAGATTGATTGGGAAGATTGAGTGAGTGATTCACAGGAACGAATGATACGCGAGGAGAAGAAAAGGAGGGGAGAAGGGAGAATGTGTGTATAGATCCATGTAGATGAAAGTTCTCAAACTCGAGGTCATATTTGGTATTGATTATTAAGACGATGGGATTGAAGAGCTGACAGACTCCTGTGATATTTCCAGAAAAACAGAAAATGCTTTTATTCAAGTGCGTATTGACTATTGACTATGTGTGATATCCATGAAGTATCTATCGATGCCTTCCCATAACGTAGATAAAAATCTGAAAAGTGAAAATGAAAAGATGATTTCCCTCAACGCCATTCCATGCATCGGTTTACCCATCTGTCCATCATGACAAGAAATAGAAAGAGTATGTATGTATGCTAGCTTAATAACTTTCCCACCGTCCATTCAACAATGTTCATTGATGAGAAAAAGAAATATTCGTAATGATAAATGAGACTATGCAAGAACTCCCAAACTATGCATCTATGCGCCAAACCGATTGGATATGAAAATGTGAATGCGGATCAAAGCAGATCAAAGCGCGAAATCAAAATCCTTGAAAGCAGCCTTGAAAGACTCAGCATCTTGTTTCTCCTCAGCCTCTGTCTGAGCACAATCTCTCCACTGGATTCTCTTTTCCAAATTTAGAAGTTTTGCGAGAACCGTTCTACCAAATTGGAGATTGAAGCGAACATTCCAATCAAATGGCATTGTAATGCATTTGGTAATTCCCTCTAGAGCCTCGTCGGTAGGAGGTGTCCAGATCCACACGCGGAAGAAATCGCCATCATTTTGACCGATTCCTGGATCCCTCACCTCAAAGGCTGGGTATTGAAGATTTTCGGCTTCGACTCGGAAGGCGGCTTCAACAAGACCCTTTTGGATGGTTTCAATAGGCATAGGAATGAGCTGCCAGTGTGTATGAACACCATTGCCTTTACTGATCTCATAGGTAACAGCGCCCAGCTTGTTTTCGCTGCGTTGTGCAATCATTTTCTGTAGCGCCTCCTTGTATTTGTTCATTTCAACGTAGGTGTTATTTTTTGACTCTTCCTCCGGGATCAGGGCCAATGTAGGCGAATGAGAGAGAGGAATGATCAACGCATGTGCAGGAAAATTAATGCCCAGGGAAGCATTTGTAGTCGCTGTTGTCAAAGGTCCTTTTGCAATTGTCAAATATGCATCATCACCAATTGAAGCAATAAGGTGAGTAGCCAAATTTGGATTTGAAAGACAGAAAAAACATTCACCGGGCCCAGGGGGTGGTTGTCTTTGACCTCTACGTCCTCGTCCGCGTTTATAATCATTGCCACCGCCATATCTAGAATATGGTTCCGGTTCAAGAGCTGTTCGTTTCCTCTCGTTGGGTCGAGCTACAAATGGCGACGCTGTGGTACCAGTGGGCAATGGGGCAGTTGGATCGACTGTTGCTTGTAACGTGAATGCATATAAGGCTTTCTGTTTCCGAGGATTGCCATGAGGGGCCAAGGAAATGAATCGAGTGAGGGGTCGAACGTCAGGTTCATCTGAAGTAGGGGCGTGAAAGAAAGGTTCTCGCTCATAAAAATAATCTGGAGACACAGAAAAGTGATAACGAGGTTTCAAAGCTGCGCAAAGATCTGCGATATGATCTCCTGCAATGGGATCCTTCGAGTCATCAGAAATTGGTATTTTGGAACCCGTTCGGATCGATTTTGGCCACAACGTCGTTAAAAGAATATCCGCTGTGTGCGCTCCATGAAGAGCTTTCGCATCCCCAACAGTGTGAAAAGGTAAATATGATTCCTTCGATAAACCCCCAATTATATTTTCGTCGAGTTGACCACCGAGCGCAACTATTTTAATTCCTTCTGAAGTTTTCGTGGTACTTCTCTTTGCGAGATAGTGTAGGTTTGGACATATCTAAGAGTATGAGTATTGGTATTCCCCGCGTTCAAAGAGTGAATTAACGGACCTCCTCATCTTTCTCAATCTTCTCGATGATTCTTTTGGGCAAAGGTAATGATCCGACAGTGAAGTATGTAGGTAATGGTATGGGTATCTTTCCCGTAATGAGGTTTGTAACTGTATCTTCGTCTTCTGTGTCTTCAGCTCCAGCGAAAAGGTTTCCAGCCACGATAGCAAGGGCAAAGTTATTCTTGAGTTGCAGCGATGTTAATTTAGTAAAGACATTGCGTATATGACCGTTCACGTCGCCGAGAACAATTCTGTCGATCAATTAGTTCAGTTCGCAAAGGTGAGGTGAGGTGAGTTAACATGCGATGATGAGTGGAAGGACAAGCTCAGAAGTACCGCCAATACCTATCTCTATTGAAATTTTAAAAGGAAGAACTTACATCTTAGATGCCATGTTGATCTTCGAAGCCGCCAGGTTGTGGGAGAACTGTAGGTTGTGGTGGAGGTCCAAAACAATAGAATATAATGGTATCGTAAGGATAATATTGACTTCAAAAGTTCTTTGCGACGCGATTTGACTTCTCGATAAGAAAGCTCAAAAGCTCATATCTTAGCGTCACGCTAATGCAAGGACGGCAGAGTGGAGACTGTTGCTCGGGCGGTCAAAAAGGGCAGAAAATGATGGCAAAAAGATGTGAAATAGAAGAGAATTAAAGGAAAATGAATGATCAATTTCAGTATAGAGATGAGAAAAGAGAGGAAAGAAGAGAAGCAATGCGGTGAAAGAAGAGGGTCAAAAGATACTCTAGATAGAGTTGTATGTATTGACAATTGAGAGACTTGATCCATTGGCTACCAACCGACCTAGTACCTGTAGCTGGACAATGCTTATATAAGCAATTATCCATTTCTTCTTATCAAAAAATAAAAATTTCCATTCTCTCTGCGATTGTGGATTTTCGTTGATTGGGGACGACATAACTTTACGATGCCTGCCACAACCTCCGGAAGAATAATTAAGACCCGTAAGGGCAAGAAGGGTACTGCCCATCAAAAGAATCATCGATGGGAATCTTTTACTACAAAAATCTCGAAATTAAACTCCCTCGATCCATTACGAAGAGTTCGTCGTCATGACCTCGACGCCGAAGATACTTCTGCGACAACCTCATATTTCAAAGCCAGTCTAGAGAAATGGACCGAACTCAATTTATCCTCTGGGTTCCAATCCTTTACGGAGGAGGTGCTTCCATTATGCGACAGTTTACCGCAGATTCTACATTTCCAGGATAAGATTATGGGTCTCTTCGTCACTTATATGGAGGGAAACCAAAGGGAATCATTGGAGCCATTGCTGGAGTTAATTACAGACTTTGCCCATGATTTGGGTCCTCGATTCGAAAAACACTATGCGAAAGCTTTGGAATTGGTTACTTCGACGATAGCAGGCACTGGAAAAGATGTCGCAGTTATAGAATGGTGTTTTACATGCCTAACATTTTTGTTCAAATATTTGTCAAAACTTGTTGTACCAGATTTACGACCTACATATGATTTAATGGCATCATTACTCGGAAAAAGTGCCCAACCTCCACATATTGCCCGGTTCGCTGCGGAGGCCATGAGCTTTCTCATCAAAAAAGCTGGCGCACCTGCCCACCGAGCGAAGGCTCTTTCATTAATCGTAAACCATGCGAAATCAGACCTTTTGAGTATCGCGGATACCAAACAATTCGGCCTTTACTATCATGGAATAATGACCATGTTTGCGGAGGCTATGAAGGGCAATGGTTTAACTGTACATACGTCGGGTCCAACGATTTTCAAATCTCTTTTCCTCGCCATTGAAGAGAGTGACTTTGGAGAGAAGGAGGCAATGCCATGGATTGACGTTATATGTGGTGTTTTAACCAGTATAGTTCATCATACAACCCCGGAGACAATCAAAGAGATCCTTGAACTAGTACTGGAGGAGGCAAACACTATTACCGATTCCTTTATACAGTCAAAGACAATGTATGATTTCAACAAACTTTTACTTTCAGCGCGGACCATAGGGATTATAGCTGGTGTTCGACGAGCT